CAATGATGGGCATGAAGTGGGTGGTCAGTGGATGATCGCTGAGTGAAGCAGAAATGGGTCGGTAATCCTGGGGAGGAAAGGACGCGGGACCTTGGAGTGGAGAGTGGGAATTACCAGCCACAGGTCAGGAGCAGGAGGGTGTCCTGGGGCAGGGAATGGTGTGAGCAATAGCACAGAGGTGTTAGAGGGACGCCATGCTTGGGGACTCCGAAGATGCCTGGTTAGACTCAAGAAAAGGATAGGCCCCTTTGATGTACATTTTGGAGATAACCTTTTGAAGCATTCCACTTGTCGACTTATAATGAAGAGCATAAAATTTTTTTCAGTATATGAAACAATTGAGTTAAAAGTCTCCACAAAGTTCATGTCGCACCTGACCTTATGTTTTTCATGATTCATTTGCCACATTCATTGATTTTTCATTCAATAATCATTCAATCACAGCATCAAGTGCATTTTTTGAGCCAGCAAAATGTAAATTGGAAGAGAAGGTCCTCAGCTAGGAAGCACACCAGAGTCCCCTCTACTATTACATGTCTTCAGTAACCCGGGAGGCACACGTTATGTTAGCCCGTGTGCAGGGGAAGGAAAGACCGGGCCTCTGAAAGATGTGATCAAGGGAGATTTTTCATTATTTATTCCTATATAACAAAAAAACACTCTAAAACATAAGGGCTTAAAAGGACAATCCCTCATGGTTCTGTGGGTTGACTACTTCCAGCTCCCCCGTTCTTGCTCAGGCTCGGATTGTCCTCAGATGATGACTGGGGCTGGGGACATAGACCTGATCTCTCCAAGGCTGGGGGCGGGGCGCAGAGGGGCAGGAATACATTTGCTTATCTGCTACACTGATACTTAGGGATTCGTATCAACTTGATCCCTGCAAAGTCAGCAGGAAACACAGCTGTTTGGGGGAGAGTCCTTGGACTTAATAAGTGATAGATCACTTATATCTGAAGCTGATTTATAAATGTACCAGTAAGCTTTTCCAACAAGATTAAAGGGGTGTTGCACTGTCATTAGTAAAACCGCAAGTTTGTTTATGCAAGATACATGACCTGGGGCACAGTTTATCTCTCTTAGAAACACGCCAGTGTAGCAATTATTCTTAGACTTGTGTTCAGCTCATGGTGGTGATGATCACAAGCAAGAAACACCTGACCACGTGGCTCTTTCTTGGGCAAGGCTCCCAAATTTAGGGAAACATGATTCAAAGTGCAGTTTGTAATGTGGATTTGGCTAAAAATATTTTTTGTTTTGTCTCACTGCAGAAACAATTTAAGAGTCACATTTCCTTTAAGAAGTTGAAACCTGCTTTGAATGATCTCACCCGCCCCTCAGTGACTTCCAGGCTGTTTTCTTTAAAGAAAACAACTTAGCATTTCTGGATCTGTTTCCCTTCTGTCATGTGAGAACGTTTCATTAAGTAACTTTCTAGCAGAGGTTTTTCAATCCTAGGAAGAATCAGCTCTCACTGAGCAATGTATTTCAATATGACGAGCATTGATAAATACACATGATTCCACTTAATTCTCCCCCCAAAAAATTTCTGGGAGATATTATTCTTATTATCCCTGTTCTCCAGCAAAGGAGCCAATCTCTGCTTGGAGATCCACCAGCCAAGTCCTCCTGGTGGGTACGAAAGCTGATAAAACCATATTTAATAATGATCTATCATCTAAATCTCCATCCACCTCTCTTTCCTCCACAACTCATTCAGAAGCCAAGATGTCGGCATTGTCCCCTGACTCATACTTAGAGCTTGGTTGCCTGTTTGGGGGCCCAGACCCTCCCCCACTACGTTCTGTCTGCACACTCTCAGGCATGCCTCCGAATTCCTGTAAGGAGCTGGTTTCCTCGTCTACCCAATGCTCCACAGGATGGTAGCAAAGGCAAGTTTAAGCTCATTTCGTAAGGGGGGTGAAGCCCTACAGATGCTAAATATTGTTCTTTTCCTCCAAAAGTTGACTAATTGAAGAACAATCAATCAATCTCTTTTCAATGGGCTTTCTTCTCTTTCTTTCCCACCTCATTGCTATCCCCTCTAATCATAACAGAAACTTTCTGGGATCAAACTCCCTTCACACTGCCACTGTTCTGTCCCTCTTCCCTTCTTCACACCTATTTTTTTTTTTTTTTTTGGCAAGGAGAGCTTGGCAACTCCTGCCACGGCCCAGCTGCTGCTCAGGACAAGACCCGTTAAGAGTGGACCAAATGCAGGAACACACAAAAGGGATGGTTGTTTCAGGTTCAATTTGTAAAAATGCTTGACTGTCTGATTAGATTCGGTTTATTTTACTTTCTTTGGGGTGAATAATTACTTAAAACATCCTAGAGAGAGCAGGAGTGGGTGTTAAGGGGATGTTTCGAGTGCAACTCCCGGACTTAAGGACTGGCACGCCCCGCCAAGGTCATTTCCTTTCAGCTTTGACTCCACACTTTGTTTGTTTACATGCTAGGAACGTCTCCTCTCTGGTGTAATTTATGAAATAATCAGTAAGATGTTCCACATTATGGCACATCAGTCACTGAGAGTGCAGTCCTCAAGCGAGCCAAACTTCTCTCAAGGGTGGCTCTTCCCTAAGGAGTTTGAACCTAAATGCTGCGGTGTGGTTCAGCGGGGACGAGCAAGAACCCGGCTTCCTCGGCCCCCGCCCCCTGCACGGGGTCTGAGATGTGCGAGGGTGCTCAGGGCAGATCTTCGTCATGCTGCAATCCAGACGATGACTTGCTTGCTTATGTGTCTCTAAAGTGTGTTTATTTCCTGCCTTGAGTCCTTTTTCTGTGAATCAGGTTCAGATTATGAAACAGATTATGTTCTGTTTTCCTGAATTTGCCTCTGCTTTGGACAAAGAGGAATTTTCACATTAGGCAAAACCTACATGGTTCTTAGGCATTGTATTTTTATTTTTCTAGGTTACTCATGCCTCAGTCCTCATTTATTATAAGGCCAACTAGTTTGACCTGTTGCTTTTCTTCAATAAATCAACTCTTGGTTAGCTCTTTTCTTTAATTCATCAAACCGTGGAACCGTGGGGAGTGCATGGGAGCCCACTCTGGGGTCCCTGTCTGGCACCAATCCCTGGTTCAGGAAAACCAGAGCTGGATGGTAGTTCAAGTGGTAAAATCTATTTTGCTAGAGTTGTTGCAACAGAGGAAAGAGTCTAGCACGAGGCTCACTTCTGAATATAGCATGGGAAAGTGGCCGTGTGTAGCTGAAGAGCTGGGTGGGGGGCCGTGGATGGAAAATGCTACAGGAAGCATCAAGGTTCAGGGGAGATTCTGGCTAGACCAACTTGGCAGGATTCTTGCCGAGCGCAGACCAGGGTGATGAGACAGTGAGAGATAGCAAGGGTTTAGTTAGTTTAGTTAGTTTCCCTCTAAACTGACTTAGCAAGGTTCCTGGCCGGTGTGGGCCCCCAAATTGATAGGATGCAAGGTAATGTCAGGGTCACTGCTTGGAAAGCAGAGATTTATAAAGCCCAGGGAACACTGTGAAACTGAATTGCCTTGGAAGGAAAGAAGAGAGACACCTGCCAAAGACGAAGGAGCAGAATCCACCATGAATATCCCGTCTACTTTGTGCGCCAGGTTCATGGTGTCAGGGAAGGCAGTTGGTCTGTGAGAAGGGAGAAGCCATCGGGCTAGAGCACTAGAGGCCCAGAAGATGTGTGTTTGTAGTACAGAGATACTAACCATGTTTCCACGGATATCTGTGCTTAGGAGGAGGTTGCGTGTTTAAAGGGATTGCATCATAAAAAGAAGAAAAACAAGATCAAAGTGGGGTACGAGATCTGGCCAACACCCAGGAGCAGGAATGAAGGTTAAGGAAGGTCAGGAAACACAGGGTGCCTGGGGTCTCCAGGGAGACTAACGTCTCTGTCTTCTCTGCAACTGGGGCACTTTGTACCAATCTCTTACAGCACAAACACTGACTGACCCATTTCATGGGATATGAAAGAATAAGTAATTGTAATCCAGTCCCATGCATTAAATGTGTTCAGTCAGCCAGGAGAAGCCTACAGCTGAGAAATGAACCTCAGCCGTGGGTCTTTCGGACATGGCTCTACCTGGGACCTCTGCACAGCTATCCTTCCATGTCCCAGGAACCAGACAAAGCAGGGTTGAAACTGAGTGATGAATTATAACACCTGCCCTGTGGCCCAGGCAGCTTTCTCATCAACAACATCACTTCAAGGTGATTCGTGATTTAGACAGTGCGTGATCATTATAGAAACAAATTATATCAAGAAGCTTAAAAAAGCAGGAGGAGGGGCGCCTGGGTGGCTCAGTCAGTTAAGCATCCGACTTTTGGTTTCAGCTCAGGTCATGATCTCAGGGTCCTGAGATGAGCCCTACGTCGGACTCCGTGCTCAGGGAGGAGTCTGCTTGTCCCTCTCCCTCTGCTCCCCAGTCCTTCTCTCTCTCGTTCAAATAAATAAATAAAATCTTTAAAAAAAAAAAAAAAGCAGGAGGAAATCCTTTGCAAATGGAGAAGCCAGTAATCCCTAGAGCCAATCATGGGGGGTAGAAGCGAAGGAGCAGAAGACACACTGACAGCCAGTCTTCCCTCACCCAGGAGCAGTGCAGGACCGACAGAATCAAGCAGCAAAATCCAATTGTTTCAAAGTCCATGGACTGCCTTGTAAGTTGTATATTATAATGTAGATAGTGAGGCTCTTAAGAGAGCACAAAATTAATATGAGAAAACAACTATGTGGGATGAGGTGTGTCTCTTTGTGGATGTCCTGTTTGATCATAATCATAAGATTGCAAAGACAAGAAAAGATTCAAGATTAATCTACTTTATGTCACAATTTTTGAAAGTTGAGACCACACATTGCAAAAAAGGGGGTGTGAATCTTCTTGTCAGAGGTGAATCAAATAGCCTTTGTTTTTCTGGGGATGCCCCGGGACCGCACATAAAGCTGCACCCGAAACCTGCCCAGGAGGTACGGAGACACTGGACGCCATGGGCAGAGAAGGAAAGCGAAGCCGGCATGCCCAGCCTTCCTGTTCTGCTAGTGCTGGTCTGGGGCGTGGGGTCCCATGGCTTCCCTGCAGCGACCGCAGGAACGCGAGAGCAGGACGTGGAGGTGGTCCAGGTAAACGCCGAATTTCACGTGCCACAAATGCAGGAGCATTATGTTCTCATTTTTCCAACGTCAAAGGGCAGAAGCTCAAGCGAGTGTGGGATCCATTCTAGGGTAACTAGAACATAACAAAAACAAAAATCTACTTACCCACCCATAGACTTTCCTTCAGAAGACAGAGGTAGAGGGATCCATAGAGAGAGGGAGCCCTGACCACCTTCACACCAACTTCCCAGGAAAGCTAGACTTAGCCACCACGCCAACAGTAAGCCTATGGAATCACTGCATTAGCAGACAGGATTTTTCCTCTTTGTACTAAATCTTCAAGACAAAAGAACTTCTCTGTCACCACAGTGAAATCCTGAAGGTTCTCAGGAAGAATTAAGAAAGATTTCACATCCTGTGTTTCACATTTTTTTTCTCTTTATCAGAACTACCTGCAGAAGTACTACAACCTGAGGATTGGAACCAACAAATCTGGAAGGCAGAGGAATGACGCTTTAGTGACTGAGAAGCTGAAGGAAATGCAGGAATTCTCTGGGCTGAAGGTGACCGGGAAGATAGATGCTGACACCCTGAATCTGATGAAGCAGCCCAGATGTGGGGTGCCCGACGTGGCTCAGTACGCTCTGGCTGATAGGACCCTCCGATGGGAGCACACACACCTGACCTACAGGTAACCAGACCGAGCACCAGAGTGAGGGCGCTCTTTCCCAGCAGAGCCGTAAGCAATGAGGTCCTACGTGTCTCTGTTTTATTCCATTTTAAGGATTGAAAATTACACACCAGATTTGCCAAGAGCAGATGTGGACAGTGCCATTGAGCAAGCCTTTCAACTCTGGAGTAATGTCTCACCCCTGACCTTCACCAAGGTCTTTGAGGAACAAGCAGACATAATGATATCCTTTGTCTGGAAAGGTAAGCTCTTCTTGTCTCCTAAAACCATACGGAACTTCACCTCCCCCCAATGCCCAGACCCGCTCCACCATGCTGAGGGAGGAGTGTTCCTAACGGGCTGTTGATTTTACCGGCCAAAGAAGGGACGTCATGGATGAAGAATGCCTTTGGGCTCCTTGTCACTATTCTCTCCCCTCTGGGGGAAGCAGGATAGAAACGGGAATTTGCCTTTGCCATGCTGTTTCTCACAGATCACGGCGACAACTCCCCCTTCGGTGGACCTGGAAACATTCTTGCTCATGCCTTCCTACCAGGAAGAGATATTGGAGGAGATATTCATTTTGATGAAGAAAAAACGTGGACCAATAATTTCAGAAGTGAGTTCACCAGTTTTTCCTATGTTTCCCTTTCATGAGTCAATGTTTTATCTAAAAGAATGCCTTCCAGGAAAGTGAGCCAAGTTTGTGATCAGCCTTAAATACTTTAATAAATGTAAGCTTTTATTAAAACTATAATTGCTTAAAAAGGTAATGGTAACTCTTTTGTGTCCATTTATTTAAAAATGTAAGGTAATATTATTTCTCCAAGTAATTTTTACCAACAAAATATGGTACTCGGAAAATAGAATGTTTTAAGTCACTTTGTCGCATATACAATCCTATACCAAAATTTTAAAATGGTTATTTTTGGTAAAGTGATTTTGGGGAATTTTTCTTGGTACTTTCCTATATTATCTAAATTTTCAAACTGGGCATAATATAATATTTATGAGCAGGAAAAAGTAATAAATGTTAATAGAATACTATTATTCCTCTAGAGTATACCACTTTCTACCTTATTTTATGATATTTATTGATCAATGGGATTTTTCTGTGTTGGCTGACTTCATCCAAGAATCATACTAGCCCCAATCTCAGAAATTCAGACTTTAACCAGCCTACCTAGAATTATTAAAGCCCTCTCCTTTCTTTGATTAAACGTACATACACACAGATACCCCACGCAGACATGTACCACCAAAAGCACACCAAATTTGCACAAAGCCAATAGTAACGCTGTTGTAGTTCAGAAACTTCTGTTTCCTTCTCGGGTTCCTCAGAAGTGCATTCCAGGAAGTGCAAACACGTTTTGTTGCTGTTTTTAGATTTCAACTTGTTCCACGTCGCAGCACATGAAGTGGGCCATTCCCTTGGACTGTTGCATGATAACGACATTGGTTCCTTGATGTTCCCCAACTATAACTACTATGGGGATGTCCTGCTGTCTCAGAGGGACATCGATGCCATCCAGGCCCTCTACGGTAAGCACAAAACACCTTGGGCCGGCGACTGGGGGTATATATGTGGGGTTCAAATAAATAGCTATTAGCTGTGTCCTTTAAGAAAGAGCCTTCATTCTAAGTGCTTTTGTGTTAGCATAATACACCAACTTTGCCTGACTTCAGAACCTGTATTTATGTTTTAGGACCTTCCAAAAATCCCATCCAGCCAAGAGAACCACAAGTACCACGAGCTGTGATAGCAAGTTAACATTTGATGCTATCACCAAAGTTCGTGGAGAATTATTCTTCTTTAAAAACAGGTAAAAAAAAAAGGGGGGGGAGCACCTGGGTGGTTCAGTCGTTAAGCGTCTGCCTTCGGCTCAGGTCATGATCCTGGGGTCCTGGGATCGAGCCCCGCATCGGGCTCCCTGCTCCGCAGGGGCCTGCTTCTCCCTCTGCCTGCTGCTCCCCCTGCTTGTGCTCTCTCTCACTCTCTGTGTGTCAAATAAATAAATAAAATCTTTTAAAAAGAAAAGGTAAAAGAAAGAAATTACCATGAACACTGATTTATGTTTTTAAAGTGTTCTGATATTTTGTTGAATGTTCTACATGTTTCTTTAGTAATATATTTTTAATTTGTAATTTTAATAATTGTGCATTTACATGAAATGATTTATTCTTCAAAAATTTATGTCACAGAGAAGGGGCTCCTGGCTGGCTCAGCTGCGAGAACATATGACTCTCAATTTCAGAATCATGAGTTCAGGCCCCATGCTGGGTGTAGAAATTACTTTAAAAGAAAAAGAAGAAAAAAATTTTTATCACAGGTAAATCCTTCAATCGCCAGAAACTTGATGGAGTAAAAGGCCTTGTAAGGCCCCCACTCTACTACTAACATACAAGTCTGTGGAGTTAGGCAGATAGACAGAATTCTTGTTGAAGACCACAGGCTTGTCAGTAATGCAGCAAGAAATGGTCTTCCAATTCCTTTCACGTCTCATGACCAGGATGAGAAACATGCCAGTGAGTAAGAACAAATAGGTTCTTCTGAATACCACTGCTCAGATCCGATGTCTACACCAGGCCTAGAGCAGTGTGACCTGCAGCCCTGGAAGGAAGGCCCAGCACGCTCCCGGGGCCCGCCGAGCTCAGTGGCTGAGAGGCATTTCCAGGGCCTGTATTTCTGAAGCCAAGGGCGACTTCGGTGATGGGGTGTGAGCGTGGACCATGCATCTGCTGAGGGGTGACAGGGAGGACCCTGCCCCGTGCACAGGCCTCTGGTTCTTCCCAAGGCTGGTGGCTTGCCATGTGCTTGCATTTGGTCTCTGTGGTCTTGCAAGCAGTCGGTCAGCCCGTGTAGAATGTGTGCTGTCTCTTACCCGGTCTGGTCGGAGCAGCTCCGTTAGCCTTCCTTAGCCTCCGCTTCTTGTCTGCTTCCTGGGGGATTTCTGGGTGACGAGCCATCATGAAGGGGAAGGGCCTGGCACGTCGGACGCGGCCCCTTGGTGCATGTGAGACTCGTGTCTGGGGAGAAGACATGCTGGACATCAACCAGAGATTTGCCGCCAGCTAGGATCGGGCCCCTTCTTTCAAATCAGGTTCTTCCTACACACGAGTCCCTCCTACAAAACAGTGGATCTCAATGTCATTGCTGAGCTCTGGCCATCGCTGTCCAGGGGAGTTGACGCTGCTTACGGCATTGTTAACAGAGATGAAGTCTTCTTTTTTAAAGGTAGAGCTTCTGGGTGTTTTTTTTTTTTTTTTGTCAATGTTTCTATGAGTCCCATTTTCATCAGGTTCTTTGGTTGAGAATTAAGGGGGCCATTTAAGTCAAGAATCTTGAAGCAGATCTAACACACATGCAGTGAAAATCAGGAGGATTTATGCACGTATGAAGTTTCACACCGCCTTTCTGCGGGGTGGTGGCGTGTGGTTGTGCAGATACCCTGGCGAACACATACAAAATCCTCCGTCAGGGCCCAGCCCAGCCAAGAGCCGAGAGGTGCCGCCCAGTGAGTTGCTAACCCACAGGAAAGTGTGTGGCCTGGCTGCCCGACCACGTGCGGCCCCACACATGCCCTGTGCCGCTGGGGGAGGGAGCCCACCCCACTCTGGACAGATGCTTGGCTCAGGGGAACCTCACTGGGGAATAAAACTCTGCACGCGCCCCTCATGAGCGCAAGTCTGGAGGAAAGCCTGCCAACTGTCCTCCAGAGTCCCAGGCAAAGTTTTCATGGTCAGTTTTTTGGTTGACAGGTAGTAAATACTGGGCCTTTAATGGGGATCAGATGCTGCGAGGCTACCCCAAGAACATCTATCACTCCTTGGGCTTCCCACAGAGGGTGAAGAAAATCGATGCTGCTGTTCACGAGGATGAAACTGGGAAGACGTACTTCTTTGTTGCCAACGAGTATTGGAGGTAACGACAGACCCTTGGAATTCAGAATCAAATCACTCAGGGGAAGGAGAGTTGTCTTTTAAAATTATTCTCAGGGCGCCTGGGGGGCCACATCGGTTAAGTGTCTGCCTTTGGCTCAGGTGATGATCTCAGGGTCCTGGGATCGAGCCCCGCATCGGGCTCCCTGCTCAGTGGGGAGTCTGCTTCTCTCTCTCCCTCTGCTTCTCCCAGCCCCCACTCGTACTCTCTCTCACACACACAAATAAACAAAATCTATAAAATTATTCTCAAATTGTGCCGAACCTCCACCCTTCAGTGGTGAACAGGCGCAGCCAGACCGAGCGTCCGTGTGTCCCCTACCTGGTATCATCTTGCCATGTCTGTCCTT